TATACCTTCCCCTTCATCCCGCTGTCTAGGGTTATGCGGGTTCTTTGATCAGTAAATATTATAATAACAACAACTTCTTCGTTATCTTTAATTCTAAACTTTTCGTAGTTGTGACCATTGCAAAAAATAATAAATTCATGTGTAAGACAAAAGAATTTTTTTTTGCTCTTGCCCCTTTATTACAAAAAACCATATCCAATTAAATAAATAAGTGAACAAAATTGTATAATACGAAAAAAGACACAATTGAATATAGGACATTTCCAATAATTGACAACAGCTACCGAAGTCCGATCCTCTTGCATTCTTCACACAACTCCTGGATATTTTGGTAACAACGGCGGCAAAGGGGTCCGTATTTTGGACAATCCAGGGTTGCTCGATGGGGGACCTCGCCGTCGCAGCAAAGTGAGCACCACGTGTCGCCGTCGGTGAGTTTCCTGGGAGTGGGTAATTGCAGGGAATTTTCCATCCTGGAACTAAACCAAAGGAATTAGTTCGGAAACTGGAAAGTAAAAAGTAAGTAACAAATAACGGTAAGTTTTACTTACCGTTAAAGTTTTGCGTTATTTGTCTCTGTGGCTGCTACTAGAAGATGTTGTCCCTGCATTTTTTCGTAGCAGTCGTAATAAATGGGTCCCTGATTTGCATAATACAAAGTTGCCAGACGAGGGACCTCGGTGTCGCAGCAAACTAAAAACCACGAGTCGGCGAGTGTTGTGAGAGTATATAATTGCAGGAACTTTTTCATTCTAGAACTAAACCAAAGAAATTATTTCCGAAACTAGGAACTAAGTGTTACTTACCGATGATGTGTTTGTAGGTTATGTGTCTCTGTGACTGCTGCTTGAAGATGTTTTATCTTTATTTTTTGTAGCAGTCGTGGCAAATGGGTCCCTGATTTGCCCAATACAAGGTTGCCGGACGAGGGACCTCAGCGTCGTGGCAAACTAAACACTAAGAGTCGGCGAGTTTTGTGGGAGTATATAATTGCAGGTAATTTTCCATTCTTGAGCTGGTTGAAGAGATGCTGTGTTTTCGACGACGAATGAAACTATGAACGTGCATTTCGTCCTTATATAGGGGTTGTGGAAGGAGAGTAGGGGTTGTAGAAAGAGAGTGGGGGTTGCACATGTGCAGAATGTTACAACAATAATAATAATAAGTAAATTTATTTTCCAGCAGACAATTATGTTTCTAGTGGATACAACGACATTACAAAACAACTACTAGAATTTTCAGTATCTTGTTCCTGATCCCAATGTTATAAAGATTATTAAAAAAATGGCAATATTTTGATCTCTGCTAGTAATATGTATAATTAACAAACGAATACAAGCTATAAGAGGACTATTGAAGTGTTGAAGTGTATTTGAAATGTTATATGTGAAACTTATCTGGATACGGCTGCCTAACCTGGGTACATTAAGCGTAATTTCATTGAGAAAAGTTTGATTATAAATTTGTCCGGTTACAATTTTTTGTAAAAATATCAAACATGACATATTCCTCCTACTAAGTCAAGAATTTTCACTAACAATGTCAAGTAAACTACTTTGATCACTGTCTGAAAGGATATCTACCAAACATCTTCAAATATACATACTTCGCATCTTTCTCACTACATCCTGTAATAGATCTAGATATGTTACATGGTAAGGTTTCCATACCGCATAGCAATATTCTAGTTTTGCTCTAACCGCTGTATAAAATAACAATTTAATGCACTGAGTGTTAGAGAAGTCTTTCGTGTTTCTATAAATAAAACCTAATAGTTTGATAGCGTGTTTTGCAATATGTACAACATGTGAATGAAAAGAGAAATTACTGTCTATAATGGCTAGAGGGCGGATTTCTGTCGGGCTAAACAAAGCCAAACTCGGTACGTCTCGTACGGGATGGGAATTCATTGCAGTTAGGGCTGCACTTCATTTATTTGAGACTCGAATAACGCTGCTTCGTTGCACTCTGCTGTTAATTCCCGTTCTCATTTACTTAGTCGTTTGATTAATAAATCGTTAATTGTATTTATGGAATAAGTGACGATTAAATTCAGTGATTGTCTATCACCCGCTGAGTCCCGGCGATCCAGCGCGTCCCCACCTATAATCGTGACGTAGCCCGACAGAAATCGGCTGTCTAATACTTTACAATCTTCAAGAACATATCCTTTAACATTATAATAAAAATTAACTGGATTATGTATTCTTGCTGACGTTATTTTTTTGCACTTAGTTTTATTAACACTTAGCAAGTTATCATCACACCAGTTAAGTAAACGATCTAAACTATTTTGTAATTCAGTGCAATCTTCAACCTTTGCTATTTTTAAATCTTCTTACAGTTTAAATATTTCACAAAATCATTATAAAATATATTGAACAAGAGTGGTCCTAGATATGACCCTTGTCCCACACCACTGTTAACACAATACCTATTTGATTTAAATCCACCACAACTCGCAAATTGATGCCTGCCTGTTAACAAAGATCTAATAACAAATATTATACTATCACATATACCAAAACTTTCCAGCTTGCAAATGCAATGATGCATAGAATGCAAAAACTTGCAAATAAGAATCGGACACGATGGGAATCCGCATAGCGGTATTCACGATGGGTCACAATTTTTGTTTTTGTTAACATTGTTTGTTTTTCTCGCTCTCTCTAACACGACAACCACAAAAATTCACAAGTAAACTACTTACAAACATTGAATTGAAGCAACTCCGTAAAGTCGTCGGGAGTCCAATCGGTAGGCCAAAGGCGTAACTGGTTTTTTGAACATTTGATAAGCTTGCGAGCGCTAAGCTTACGAAGTATGTAGCGATCATGCGGAGCTAAGGATTTTATGATATACAGCCCAACGAATTCACAGCCAAATTTCTCGGGCCTTTGTCCTCTACTCAAAAGTACAAAGTTTTCAACTTTAAAACACAAGTTATCCCTTCGTTTGCGACTGAAAGCGACACGTTCGTGTTCGGCGTTAATCTTGAGCTTTTGTAGCACCTTCCGAGGATCTTCTGGGCTTTTGGTAGATTCTGGAGTAGGTAAGTCGGCGAGAATTGTACGAATTTGAGGGGTTTGGCCCTCTTGTCCGAAGACTAGTTTAAAAGGGGAGCATCCCGTAGTTTTGTGTTTGGTGGTGTTAAGGACAAGTTGGACTTTCCAAAGATGGTTCGGCCAAGCTGATGACTTATTTGATTCAACTCTCAACAGATTGGTGATAGTACGCATGTAGCGCTCGACTTAGCCGTTAGAGCGATGTGTACCTGGGGTTGTCACGTGCAATTCAATCCCAAAATATTCGCCAAAATTTTTGAAGGATTGGGCTGTAAAGTTGGTTCCAGCGTCGTGAATGACTTTGGTAGGGGTTCCAAATATGCTAATAAAATTGGAGAAGTTGCGCTTGGTTTCTTCTGTTTTGAGGTTAGGTTGGGGATAAAGGAGGCAAAATTTAGAAAATGCGTCAACTACGACCAAAATAAATTTATTGTTCTCGGAACCTTTGGGCAAAGGCCCCAAGCAGTCAATATGCACGGTATGAAATGGTTCATTAGGTTTAGGGTGCGGATGGAGGAAGCCTTGCTTGGGACCGGTTCGATTTTTACGTACGGCGCACAGGAGACAGTGTTCAACGTATTTTTTTACGTAGCGAGTCATATGAGGAAACCAGAAATAACGTTTTATTGAGGCAAGGGTTTTTTCCCAACCAACATGTCACTGATCGTCGTGAAAAATTTTCAATAGATTATATCGGTTGTTAGCTGGGACAAATAGTAACTCTTCAGATTGACCATTTTCGGAAGTAATTATATGAAACAGGGTGTTATTTTTAAACGTGTACAATTCCTTCGCCGGGTCATGGATCGAATACGCAATAATTTCGGTCAAATCTGCTTCCGACCAATTAGCACGCAAAGATTTCAGTTTTGCTAGCTTAACACGGGCGTACTGTATGTAACTTTTTGCATCAGTACTTCAATAGTTGACAGCGTCGGTCAGCAGTTTACGTAAATTTTTCTGCTTAGGAAACGAAACTGAAAAATCCTGTTTGAATGTTTCCCATGTTTCGTCAGTAGATTGCCAAGCGGCGAACCAACTTTGCGCTGATTTAATTAAAAAAGGACCAATTCTACTCGCAGTTTCTCGATCAGACCACCCGAATTCATTTTTATACCCGTCAATCTTCAAAAGCCAAGGAAACTGGTACAGGTCCAGGTCTATGAATCGTAGCGGAACCCTGTGATGAGCTTGCATCCACACGGCGTTGTAAATTTTCCAAGACGGCCGCCACGGCGCCCAATGACTTCGTAAGTTGTTCCTCCATTTGATGCATAAAAGGCACTATACACAGCCAGTTTATAAACTACACATGCACACCCCAGTAACCCCACACCTGATGTTAAATTTATTAACTTTTATTGAATCATATAATCAATCTTTTCAGCCAATGGCTTGAATGCGAATGAATATTCGTCATCCCCACCGTGAACCGAGTGAATATTCTAGTGGGGGATCCACCCGTGTATTACTGGATCGCCCCCCACCTATGGCGCCAAATTTTCTAACAATATACATTTTCTTTTGGAAGCCCTGTTGTATCATCTAGTGGAATTACGAGTCCTACTAGTCTATTTGTGACACTATCATACTGAACTCGACTAACTATGCGGGTCCCATCTTCAGAAATCCAAATCGTTGCCCCATAGTTATTGTCATAAGGTACGATTTTAGTTCCAAAATCCTTAACCTTCCTTCATGTATTCTAATAACGACTGGTACAGGTAATTTAATTTGATAATTAATTACCTGTCATTTGGGTTTAGCCGATAGTGGAGATTTGAGGCTTTTATTTTGACGGTGAGATAAAGTACCCCATTAGTAAAAAATATGTTCCTATTGTGGTAAAAAGTTTGCGCTTTGCTCGATGGAGCGTTTCACTATTTTATTTGAAAGCTTGTTCCCTTACGTGAACATTTTATTATTATTGTTTTATTTATAAATATGTCTCTGTTTTAGATTTCGAAATATTGTTTCTTGTCGGACAACTTCTTTCCGAAACCCTTTCACTCGGCGTCCCATAATTGGATATTAATTACACTTAAAAAAATGAATGCAGAAATGAAGAATCACTTATTGTTTAAAAATTGTTCGATCTCCAGCAATTATTTTCGACGTCGTTTTTTTTTTTTAAATTGCTACCATTTTTCCATAATCGCCAATCTGAAATTTGGCACTTTCTAAGATTTTTCAAAAATATTTCGAAATTCTCGTTCTGGAACCACAAACATTTTTCGAATTTTCTGTGGCAAAATTTGTCAATCCTGGCTCTTTGTGAAATTTTCGACCCTTTTTCAGTCACCAAAATCACCTAAAGGTTTTTTTTACAGGTTTAGAACCTTTTTATGAAAACTCAATTAAATCGTTCAAATTGTGATCCTAAAAGCCATGGCAATTTTTAAGATTTTTCAAAAATTCATTTTCAAACCAAATATCGCGAAATTCACTAAATCTAACAATGAGAAATAATAAGCCCTTAAGAGTGCGGGTGGTCACCGGCACCAGCTTACCGTCATAAATCAAGGATTTGTGCGATGACAGTTGAAACGATTTATGATTATGGGTTTTTCCTCATTAATAAATCCATAGTCCAATTCACAACACCCTAATTTTATAACAGTCAGTTAAAAAATTAGAATTTCGAAAGCTTATACTAGTGACTGACTCTATGCCAATCAGATATCGTTAAACGCTTGATTAAATGCGTGATTAACTTCCTACTCAGTCTCCTCAGTAGTCGACAACTGCATACACCCTCGCACAGCACACAAGCCGGTAAGTTGACTCTAGATTTTGTAGTCTTTTTAACCAAGCTTTTCCTTTTTTGCAGGTTCAAGAATGGAAAAGTCACAAGCTGACTTTTTGAAGTACATGGAGTGTCCAGTCTGTCTGGACATTCTTCGTCCTTCTGTCCTTTATGCGGAAACGGACACAGTATTTGCCATGACTGCCACTACCAACTACTGAAAACCTCGCAGATAGCAAAATGTCCAGTTTGTCAGGAAGACTTCGACCTGTCAGGACTTCAAGAGGCAGTTGTATCTCTAGATGGAGGTGGCCTGCAGATTCGACGGATGCAAAATGGAAGGGGTATGGCCAGGGCCGGCTCTAAGGGACCAGGCGCCCCGATGCAAACTTACTGTTCAACGCCCTTAAAAAAATTTTGTAAAAAAAAAACAAATAAAATTTTGTAATCACATATTTTTGTAGAGAGATACTTTTTATTAAAAAACATGCATAAAATTATGATGAATCAATCTTAATATATAAAAATGTTTGTCTTAACTGATAGACTGACTGATTCATCAACGCAAAGCCTAAATTACTGAAGCTACAAACATGAAATTTGGACAGTAGGTTACTTTTATGTCATAAGCACCCACTAAGAAAAGATTTCTGGAAATTCCGCCCCTACGGGGACAAAATAGGGGATGAAGCTTTGTGCAGAAATGCCGTGAGTTTTTAAGTCAGACGGGTTCACTGGGGAGGGAGGAGTGAACGAGATGGAAAATGATAATTTCGGAGGCTCTCACGGTCGGAATCAATACATGATCGTTTTCCGGGTTGGAACCGTGTAATTTCTCAAGAGTTTCGCCTCTGATATGGTTGACATATTGAGTTACCGTGCTCTTTTGCCTTATTCTTAACCCTGCTCCTGAAGATGCCACTTACGAAAGTGTGCGAAACGTTGAGCCCAAAAACCCAATTTACACGGTTCCAACCCGGAAAACGATCGTGTATGAAAAATGATTGCGAATTCCACGCAAACGGAGCTGCGGACAACAACTTTTCTATAGTTTAGGAAATATCGTTGTACCCTATAAAATTTTCTTGCCAATAACGAGACGGACAGTAGTACAATAACAAGAGATATTTACAACTTAAAGTTGTCGCATGGCGGTAATTTGCAGACCTTAAATTTCTAAAGCAGCGGAAGTCCGATCCTATGCGTACAATTACCTGCTAAATGTTCTCTTACAAATTCGGGGGGACTGGTGTGAGCCATAAATATTTCTTACCACTGTACTACTGTCCGCCTCGTTATTGTCAATAAAATTTTAGAGGGTACACCGATATTTCCTAAACTATATATAGTATAAATATAAAAATATTTATATTACAAACGTTTTTCAATTTTTAATATTGTAAAATTGATACGATTTCAAAGTTATTTTTAATTTAGACTTACCTCAATGTTAATCGAAATTTAAATTTAAAATTAATGATAACAAAAACCCACGAAATGATACACACAACCACATTCGGCTACAAACAGGAACAGTTAAAAATGTAACAAAACTGTTGAACAACCACCACAACCAAAACCGATCGACTAGAGTTGGAAAATAAAATTTTTAAGTATGCCGACATGGACTTTTATGGTAAAAACAAACGTGACAAATGTTAGGAAAAACATCTGGGTGTGGTCATACCGCTGTCTCGTAAAATTGTTACCCAGATAATGCATCATAAATCTGGTTATTTTTTGTCGGTATTGATCTAAAGGTCCCATCATCCAACCCAAAGGTGCACTTTTTTTCAATTATTACAGTTTGAAAGTGCCATTGACTTCTTGGGATCTGTTTTGGTGGTCATAGTGGAATGTTAAAATGTAGCTTTTTCTGAAAAGTTTTCGATGGGCGCCTTGGTCTGTTACTGCTATAATATTTTATTGGTAGTGATTCAATGCAAAACTAATATATATATTTTTTTATAGAGTTAATATAATAGCATAGGCGGCCCCCGCTGCCCGGCGCCCTTTGTCACGGACGCCCCGATGCGGTGCATCTTTTGCTTACCGTGTTAAGCCGGCCCTGGGTATGGCGCAGAAGTGATCCGACACGAAAGAAGATGTCTCTTTCGACTACGAGAATGGCCTAAATACTCTTGAAAAGGGCCCCAGACGTGGTTAGTAAACCATTACTTCGTAAAGCATGCAAGTTGATAGTGCCCATAATTAGTGGGGTAATAAATCATGATTGACAGGTGTCATAAACATGACAAATGTCAATTAAGATATCGATCTTAATGAAATGTAATGGAACATTTGAAGGCGGTGGCGTTAAATTTAGCACTTTAGTTGTAACTATGTGTTTTGCACAATATTTGTTTAAAGACAAATGATATAGAGGCACCCCCTGCTCCTGAAGAGATAAATGAGCAGGATTTGGAAGTGCAAATAAATGACGGACAAATGCCCAACATTGAAGAAGGGCCAGACCCAGTTCGCTATGGTACACGAGAAATTTTAATAGAACAACACTTTGCTGCATTGTAAATAACCACTTTATTTTAAATTCTACAACGCAGAATTACCAATGCAGAACGATTATTATAATTAACTTTTTTATTACATAATAATATTCTTTATGACAAATAATTATTGTTTTTCTTTTGGAGAAGATCTAGTTGTGCCTGTTTTATGGCAATATCTATCTTCTGCGCTTGAACCGTGTAGCAGTGAATTTCTTCTTCCCGTTCTCTTCTCCTCTTTACATCTATTTCCCACTCTTTTTTTGCCTGGATTTGAAATTGCTCAGCTCTTTTCAAGATTGAAAGTTGAACAGCTCCAATTTCAGTTTTCATATCCGCAACATCTTCATACTTCTGGGCGATTGAAGTTGTTGCGCATAAAGCAGGCCTTCTTCTTTTTACCCATTCCATTTTGTCTGTAGTAATTCTCTTCTTTCCTTTTGAGGGAAATTGGATGGGTGAGGTTCTCTCTAACATCCTATTACGCGGTGCAGCTTCTTCTTCCAATACATTTGTTCCATTAATTGCAGCTTGTAGTTTTGGATTCAATGGAGTTTTTAAATGCAGAGCCTTTCTGTTTCCCCAATCGACACGTGCTTCTTTTGCTGGGGTTTGTTTTGGCTGCGGTGATTTTTCAGTGCTTGTCCCTCCAATCTCAAATGCCAGAGAAGGTGATTGTGATCTTATTGATGATGGTGTCATTACTGGTGATGGCGTTCTATAGCGTACAAAATTAAAACATGGGGCAATACCAACAATATTTCCTAATTGTCCTGGTTATTTGACAACAACAACAGAATTGAAAAGGAGGATAATCGAAAGACATGAAATTCTATCAGAAAGGGCAAAAATGGAGCAGCTTGAAAATTTGGAACCTGTAGATAAAACAGTCGAAGACCTAGACGTAATTAAAAACCCTTTTAAGGATTTATTGGATGGAAATATACCATTTCGATTGCCTCCTTTTTGTGAGGTTACCACATACAGTGAAGGTGACACTAAAAATGTAATGTTTTCAAAAACAGTTATCAAAACACAAAAGCCAAACGTGCAACATATTTTAGTTAATGAAAATTTTCATTTACATTTTTTTGTAAATCACGTGGAAGTGAATAATATCGAATGTAACTTTGAACAGATTCGAAGGAAATTACATAGTACTTAGCTTTGAACTAGCAGATTCCTGAAATGTGTCTTTAAAGTGTATATTTTTTAATTTTTCTTTAAGTGACATATTGTGACCTTTTCCACCTGCAGTGAAGTTGAGAAACGTCATATTTTTTGGAAGAATATTTGAGACGCAGTAACTTTTAATAAACAAAGTAGTTCTAAAAAGAATTCACATTGCTAGTATTAAATGCAGTTTTTACTTGTTCTAAATTAAAAAGTAACCTTAAACTATGAATTAGCGTTTTATTTATCGCAGACCAGACAACTTTTACGCCTGATAAGGTTTTTATATCCTTTTTGAATTAAATTAATTAAAAAAAACTTTCAAATTTCCTTAAGCTTCCATATTAAACTAGGGCTTGTGTTCGGTGGCGCCTCTAGCGGTCGCGCCAAAAATAACGGAAAGTAAATGGAACCACGTTTTTAACGCCGTGAGATTGACAGTCGTTTGTCCTTATCTAGGTCCGTGACTTGTACACTGAAGTAGTATATTGCGAATACCATAGACATTATAAAAATAGACTCCTTACTCTAAGGTTATTAAATACACAACAAAATTAACGAATTACATCAACATTTTATACTGAGGAATAGTCTAATATACACTTAAAACACTAAACAAATTCAACATTTGATGTCAGATGTTTGTGGAAACTATTGTATATTGTTCCTTTTAAATTACGCCCTTGGTATAGTAGTCGTCCAGATCGTACTCCGTTTTTATGGCACTGCAATAACAATTACCGCAAGCATTTGGAGGTCTATTGAAAGTGTGAACAGCCGTCTCATAAATCATCTTAAAGGTTTTCGAGAGCTACCTATGCAGGACCGAATCCGCTTTCATTCACAGAAGTGTGGGGTGTGGACAAAAATCAGCGTAATGGTGAAATAAATATATTTATTCACAGTTTTTCATATAATATAAACAAAATATTTTAAACAAAAGAGAACGAATTAACAATGTTAATAAATAAATAAATAATTTACATACTATTTTCAGATCCACATATAGTGTTATTCATCTAGCAACCTGTATATTTTATTATAAAACTCGGAACAAGGTATATTGGGATCTTTTATACTTTTTAAACCAGACCAATTCATCTCTGTAAGGGATGTATACAACCCAAAAAAATTGGCGTTCCGAAAATTATACAAGCCGTTTTTATCACATAAAGGAGTCTTAGGATTTTTATGGTATTTAAACCAGAAATCAATATATAGAGCCGGATGATGTGCATCTTCAGACAACAGTTTTCATTAATAGTTTTATTCTCGTCCATTATTCATTATATTGTTATATTTCTCACATGTCATTGTCATCATTTTTAAGTTAAGACGCAAATGGTTCGCCTCAAGAATATTTCGTATATTTGAACATCTTGAAAAAGTGGTAAATAAACTGCGAAACCGTTGACGTAGAAGACATCTCTTCTTCTTTTTATGTCCACGTGTCCCGAAATACAAAAAAAAAAACAATACATCACAATTTTCGCTCACACCATCGTTCGTCAAGCACTTTTTACATAATTAGCAATCATGTCTAATATCTTTTTCCTCTTTACAAGTGTTGCAGAATTTTTTTCCACACGTGTGACTCCTCTTTTTCTTGTTTTTTGGTGTAATCTCCGCATGACAAGTACTACAACGCTTTATACGATCGCAAATCTTGGCGTTCTTGTGTTTATTTAAACAAATTTCCCCTTTAAAAATTCTGTTGTACATTACAAGTTAATAAAATCGGATCGTCGTTACATGGAGGAGACGTTAAACAGCATGGACATTTAAATGGACAATTTTTATGCCGTTCTTGTTGCGAATACTTTGTGAGACAATATTCGCAGAAAAATCGCGTAGAGAATGCACCAGTTAAACTTAAAATTAAATTATAGTGTTCATCTTCCAACAAAAGATTAATCCGCGGCTTAATGATATTATAATCACCTTTAAAATAAACCAATGTTCCGTCACGTTTATTGTAAACAATTTTACTAATATATAATCGTCTTTGAAGTAGTCTTGAAACTGTTGTACTTCAGCGTGTCCACCACCATGCGTTATATGAACATTTACACGTTGACAAAATGTGCGAGAAAGATTTAACAAATCTGTGTTACCCTTTTTTTTTAAACTTATGTAGCACCTTCTTATTACAACCGTTTGCAGTATACTCGATACCAACAATTAGAGCTGCCGCTAAGCAAAAATTATTTACATCTACCACAAAAATACTGTTTTTGGCAACACAAAACTCTTTAAAATTTACGCACTTACCATCTAGTGCAGAAAACCCTCTACCTACTGGCATATCAATCACATCTATGCGGATAGTCATCTTATCGTTAGCGAAAAAGCTCGCGTTGCTTTGCATAATCGCGCTAATAATGTCCATCACTACGTCGGCGTTCAGCTGCGAGTCTTCCAAAAAAAAACTCCTACAAGCTTGTCCGGAAATTCTTCATTTTCAATGACCACTCCAATCATGTGGCTGGGTTGAAATCCGCGTGTGATGTAATCAAGTAGTTCTTGAAATGCTTTCTAAACAAACGTAAATTTTAACTTTTTTTTTGTTTTTTTTTTTTAAATTACCTTCAACCAATCTTGTCATCGTTCACATCTTTAAAAGAAAATTCCATCCGTCTTGCCGTTAGCCCAAATTTACGTATGAACGCCTCACACTCGCTTTTTTCATCGAAATATTTGTGATCTCCCTTTACTGCGAAATAATTATTATTAATGATCTATTATTTATTATTGTTATTATATTCTATATATTACCTGTAGGTATGGCTTCTTTTCCCTGTACCTCTTTGAACATCTGATGTTTCACTTTCGTCACCTTCTGTAGCCCCTAAAACGTTCCGTATTATAAACTGTTATGAATAAATGTTCATTTTCAACATACCTTTTTGACCATGTCGATGTCGATACATTTACTACACTAGCTTCTTCGTCGACATCAGTTGATTGCGTTGGAGTTGAAAGTGAAGACTGCCTTTTACGAAATAATTTGTATGAATTATTATTACTGGTTATTAATTAATTTAGCATATCATCTATTATCAACTTACCCAATTGTCTTATTTTTCGTAACAAAAGACCATATGATTCTCGATCGTTGTTGTCCAAAACCGCATCCTTATATATAACTCTATATCTTTCGTCGTACAATATTTTTCAGTGGTTACGAGTTCACTAACTACACTGAAGTATGCAAAGATTAAATTTGTCACCGAAAAGATGACGGAAGTAATAAATTATCCTATCGGTCGAAGAACGTTCGGTCACCCAGCATAAAACTGTCAATTAAGATTACTCGCCATCCTTACCTTTCCAGGACCGTATTTGTTTCAATACGTGAACAGGTAGATCGTTAAACGGACCGCTTTCAAGGAATTTAATCTTAAAATTTAAGGACCCATGAAAGTGTGGTTCTTAAAACTTTTTAAATCTTTGCAAATACATATTTCCTAGAAAAACCCAATAAAAATTAACTCTACCATCATTCATATATGAACGCTCCAAAATTTGAAGTCCGGCTCTGGCTGAAGCCGTAGCTCGGGTGTGAAGGGTTCGTAATGGTTTTATTGCAGGTTGCGGTCCAAAGTACTTAAGACCCCTCATAAAGTAATTGACGGCGTTTGCAATTATTCTTCGTAGAACTTTACAACCCAACCCAAGAGACACCAATGGAACGGATAAAAAAAGCTGCAAACATGATTGATAAATTTTAAACCAAAATTATGAAGTTTATAAACTGAACATTTTTTTTGTTTTTTGAAATGTAGTGCCTACACTTCAAAAAATGTCCGTGACTTATTTTAATGTGAATTTTACAACGATGGTCAGTACAATCAGACCTAATATTAGTGTGATTTTTGAGCATTTTCTGGATTTTATTAGAGCAGAACAGGTTTTTTTTTCTAAATTTATAAGTTACGGAAACTAATTGCACATCACAGATATTGAAAAAAAAATTGGGTTCAGTTTCCAAGTAATTGACAAGATTTCAAAGTGTTCCGTTTTGCAATTCTTGATTTCTTCAATAAAATAAATTGACTCAGTCATTTTTTTTTGAGTCCCCCTGTATAAACAAATCCAAAAAATATAAATTAAAAAATAAATCACAAGTATAGGCTCATCATAATTTGAACAATTTAGATAGGGTATTTATAAAATTAAAACTAATTCAGAGTAAGAATTTGGTGAACACGTAAATTTCGTTGTAGTTTGAGCCTACCTACAAATTCTGCCCTTGAAAGATTTGGACCGCCTTCCTCGGTGACGACCAGCAACAATGATCCGCCCATAGGCTCAAAACATTTGCGTTGCCCTATCCCTCCCCTTGTCATCCCTCTGAAAAATTAGTTTTGCTTTAAGCTTTACAAAGTACAGACGTTCCTATTTTAACATTCAGCTTCGTCTAAACGTTGTATGTATATATATACCGTGTGTGTTATTCTTGTGAACGAGATGGCCCATAGTAAGTTTTTAAGAATGTAATTTATTCTTATTTCTTATAAGTTTTTTTCTTTTTTTCTAGATCAATGTGTAGTATTATTTTCCGTTAGGCGGAAGGCCCCTTCAAGAAAGGATTTGAGAAAAAAAAATTTCTGTCGATTTTGCGCGAAGAATTACAACAGTCCAATGTGGGTAGCACACATACACACGATGGCCAAAGTATATTGCGCAAGATGTAACGCCCATATCGTAAACAGTAGACGATCTGTTTGCCAAGATACCCCGCTTGGGTACAGAGGATCGAGATTCCCCTACGGGCACTATGGACGACAAAGGTATTTCCCTCTATTGGTTTACGAAGACGACGGCTACAGCGGTATAGACATGTGATTATACGATAGTTGTATGTATGTAGATATTACTATTATGTAATCCGCTGTTCGGAAATAAAAATATATATTTAAATTCGATATCAAATTAAAGTGATCTAATTAAATTTAATAATGATATAATTAATTTAATTACGTTCACGATTAAAAATTTAATGATGAGTAATCAAAATCCATTACGAGAATTAGCTTGATTGACACATGTCAAAAATCCATTAAGATCGGTATCTTGATTGACACACACGTCAAAAACTCCATTAAGATCGATGTCTTAATTAACATCTGTCATGTTTATAACATCTGTCAATCATTATTTATTACCCCACTAATTATTATTACTATTAATAATATTATTTAGCCATTCTAACAGATAAACCATTTATAAGGATGGGGAAGAATTAAGAAAAAAAAAGAGAAAATCCAATTCACAATTATAAACGCAAAATGATTTCTGTATAAATTATAGTTACGACACATAGTGACAATAGGTGAAAACATATGTATGTTTATTTTTGAAAATTCAACGTAAAAACATTCTGGATTTCTGGTATTATTAATTTATTATAGGCACTATCAACTCATGCATAGTAATGACATTTATTTATATATATTGTAAGTAAATTTTCAAAACCGATAATAAACTCAGTAATCAATAATTGAATGATTTATTTCGCCATCTTTGTTTGACAACATTTGTAATGGATCGTCTGCAACAGAAAAAACGTTTAAGTCCTTAAAAAAGTCCCATGTGAACATACGTAATTGAAAATCCAGAGAAAGTTATTTACAAACTGAAACCAAACAGTTTCAATTCTCTTTGAGCGGCAAACTTTTTTCTACATTTACTAATGTCGCAGAAAAGCGTCACCATCTGAGTACGTTCCAACTATTAAGCACTTAAAAGATATTAAAGGACTAATCGTTTCAGACTTTCTATTTATGTTGACACCCTCCGATGATTTATTGTTTACCACTTTTCCAAAAATCCCATATTATTGACAATGCTCTGTTTGATCTTTGATTGGTAATTGCCTGGTATATATAACTTTCCAGAGTTTGCTCACTATTTGTCCCATGGTGAACAGTAGGTACTCTTCAGAATAGCTATCGATTTAGCTTGCGTTTCTTCCAGAGATGGTGTCGATCGAGCAATAGGAGTACAGAAATAGTTCGCAACCTGTACAAGGGAGGTCCAAGAACTTAACTTTTATTGAGTAAATGTAAGTAGTTCCACCAGTCCACTCGTATTTTACGTCAACTGTGACTTTAACTACTGCAGATTTTTTTGCGGCCCTATTTGAAAAAAATTATTTATCGAACACCTGTCAACAATTTTGAGGAATCAAGGTTGAGAATGACCGAAGAATTTAAGGACATAAACAATAATGCAGATCAAAATAATATATATTTTTTGTTGGAAGGTTTAATCAAATAAAAAAAACAATATATTAACCATATTAGCTATCTGCTCCTCCTAATTTTTGGTGAATCTTCTACACTTAGAAAAGTGTACCTTTCTAACTATTTTTTAATTAGTTCTCTTTCATTGTCAACATAATGCACTTCACTCTTAATACCGTCTAATGTATAATCCTGGCAAATGGAAGTCGCATACCTAACTGTTAACGTCATAATAGGATTACCATTAGGGTATGAACTTCTATCAAGTGATATTTATTACCCTTCTATTTATGAATAAACATCTGTAAAGAAGCGATACGAAGGTGAATCAAACGGAAACACAATGAAGGACCAGACTAGGTATGAAAGAAAACAATGGAAACCAGACAAGCTACTTAAAGAAGGTTTAAACGACTTAAAGAATGAAACTACAAATACGACTTGCAAATTTGTGGGTATTTATTGGAGTTATAGAAGGAGAGTAGGGGTTGTGCAGGTGCAGAATGTCACTACGACGCCTTAAGCTGATTACCAGTTAAAAATAATTTTAATTTCTTTTGCAGACGAAGAGGAATAATTCCCGAGGTTTATGGCAAATAAGGCAAAACCCTCTTATTAACTTATTTGGTTAGGATTTTAAAGTGGAGTAGAGTCTGATAATTAGCATTAATTTCTGTTCCCAAAACTGTTTATTGGAAACCCTCAATCGCTTAGGATTATGATGATGGTAATTTACAACCCTGACCCCCCGATTGCTTATCTCAAAGTAACGAAAGTTCTATTAATCAGATTTGCATCACGGTAATTTAGTTTGTTTTGTTTATGTAAATCATGTATTTAAACTTAGTTGTTCATTTTTATTGCCAAAGGAGCTACATATTTTTTATTAACACTAGCAGAATTTGAAATTTTTAGAAATAGATATGATATGCTTTAAAAAAAAGGATTAAAGGTGACCCTGAGGATTTTTTTTCTTAAAAAAAAAACATACAACGAACCTCTGACTAAATCAAGTACCTCAACAAAATGCCGATCACAATTTGGACAGATAATTATTGTTAAAAGTTGCTCTTTTTGCATTTTTTAATGACAAATTTCTCTTAAATAATTAAAAATATATCAATTTTTCTATTTTACATGTGTGTTTTACAACGTGTTAAATCATATTTATTAGATTCCATTGTTACTATGCACTTGAGATTTTCGCCAACTAATTACTCACGTATTGATTGAGATTACAACTACAAAATATTTCAACCGATATTTTTTGAAGAGTTAAAGCAGACGGTTCTCGTCGGTTTAAGACAAATCTAAAAATAAATAAATCTTGTTTCCATTTCACAATATGGTTATTATTATTATTAAGTACCGGTTTTCTCCTCCAAGTCATTCCATGACTGGACTTCTGCTGATGCAAATACTGCGTAAAAAGTACCACATGCAACATATACACCAGCAATTAAAAGATACACCTTCCTCCATAAAATCGGATCCGTCTGTATTAAAAAAAATCACTAGATTTAGTCCTAATATTTAATTATAACTATTACCTTGTCAGTACCAAACCAACTGACTATTATGGGCCCCAAAAGCGAGAAGACGTTCGAAGTACCGTACGTCATACCAACGATAGTTCCGGAATGGTTAGGCGCCACATCAATCATGTTCACCATAAAACCACACTGTACTAAAGCGGTGAACGCAACAGCTACCACTAACAGTACTATAGCTAGTTCTTTCTGGGTACTGTCAATAAACGCAAGCCATATGAGCGCCGCCCCTGGTACATACATAGCCAAAGCACCGAAGATTTTTCTCACACTGGTAATACTAACAACGTTCTTCAAAATTAACTTATCAGCTATAGGTGACACCACTACACCTGTAATCGCATGGGCCATATGTGGTATAGCCGAGAGTAGACTATTCTAAAACACACCCATTTTTTCAGTTACAAAAACTAATCAAACACCCACCGATTGTATATCAAAATTCATAACCCCATTTAGATAAGTTGGCATTTCTGAAACCAGAGTAAACGCTCCAAGACACTGGGCACACGCAGCCACTAAAATCGACCATACTGGCAAAGACGTCATTATGGACACCCATGGTGTTGGTACTTTCTGGCACCCACAACGTAAAATTTTGGTTACAAACTTACACAAACAATACCTTAGTGGTACCATACTCAACCGCATTTTTCTCCTGGATGTATATCAGCTCTGCTTCCGTTACTCTCTTATGAGTTGCGGGGGAATTTTCCACAAATATGGCAAAAATTAAGGTCCATGCCACCCCCAAACCACCAATTGAGTAAAACGCCATTGGCCAGCCTAGTTTCGATTCGGAGATAGCACCAGTTATGGGCATAGCAAGAGCGATTCCGGCAGTAGCTCCTGCGTAGACGAAATTTGACATCCTTGCCCGCTCCGAGAAAGGTGTCCATCGACTTATTAGGTTGTGGATTGAAGGGTACAAGAAGCCTTGGCTCAAACCTTGTATTACACGACAGATGATCACTCCCGTGGAACCAAAGGTGGCGGCCATTGGTGGAACGACAATGCTGAAAACTGATCCCATGACCATGGTACCAAAGAGGAACCATTTGGGGCCGAAGTATTCGCTTAGTTGGCCTGCTCCGATTTGGGGAATAATGTAGCCCCAAAAGAACGATGATAGTACTATGTCGGTGTTGTCCCATTCTGGGTATGTCTGAAAAACTTGAAATGAAAGTACTATATGGTGATATTTTTGGTACTTACGGGTATGCTGGGATCCGGGGGTAGTTTTGCAGTCATTGATATAATTGCTACTGAAGGAATAGTTCGCAGAATGAAGCAAACGATGAGGGTTAAGAACAGTAAGGCGAACTGGTAGTACCGTATCCCGATTTCTGGAATTTTACTCAAATTAGCACAGTTTAAGGCTATAGGTTGTTGTAATTGTTACTCGGTTTCGGTTTGGATCGCCAGCGACAACCTGTAGATTAAAATCTGACATTTTGGTTGGTTGTAATCAAACGATTGTCTTATATATATGCCTCACAAAAAACGAATACAGATATAAAGATCTATTGTAATTTTATCTAATCGTGACAATTAAAACTATTAATTTGCAATTTAGCAGTGAAGTTTTTCGGTAGTACTTTACTGGTGTATCAAGGTATAAAACAATGTGTGTTTACATTGCAATTTTAAATAATAAAACACCACTAAGTAGTTCTTAGTTCTTATCTGCATTCTGTATCTTATCTGCGCAATCATTTGAATTTCATCATAGTGTTAGAAAAAATATTTTTTTATTTATAACTATTTTTTCGAAAATTTTATGTTACTCAGATTCTAGTTTAAAGTACCAACAATTTTAGACGGAAATGATTTTTACTTCCCGAGCGTAAGCAAAGGAAGTATTGTAATCGAGTCCGTCGGCCGACTCTCTACTTTTACGTTTTCTCGATCTTTCATGACCCCTAGAAGACGAAGAAATAGGTCTCCCATTTCCGTCTGTCTGTCCGTCTGTCCGTCTGTCCGTCCGTCTGTCCGTCTGTCCGTCTGTCCGTCCGTCTGTCCGTCTGTCCGTCCGTCTGTCCGTCTGTTGTCCCGGATTTTTATTAGACAGATAATCTCCGAAAGTACTCGACCGATTGTTGTGAAATTTTGTACTTATATTAAGAATATCATGTAGATGGTAAAACGCTAACCAAAATTTGTCTAATCATCCCCACCACTAATGCGATGACGTCACTTCAAAATTGTACATAGTAAATGGGTTTTCAATTGTATAAAATAACATAGTCCTACACATGTAGTTTACAACTCCGAATCGACTTTTCACCCGAAACGTCCAGATTTTTGGAAAAAAAATCAAAATTATAAAACAACATTTTGAAATTTAATTTTTAATCTGCTAACCAGAATGCTTTGAAATGTTGCAGATGTTTTAAGGTTATAAAGAGCATCATAAATCTTTAGTCAAAAAATATTTGCTTATCCCCTCCAAAAACTTGATGACGTCAGCTCAAAAGTTTGTGGAATAAATCATATCTAAAATGTACAAAATATGATGAGTCTGTACTTGTGATCTATCACTCCATTCATATTTTTTGGATTTGCATATACAGGGTGACTCAAAAAAATTAATGAATGCGTAAATTTATTTTACTGATTTACTCAAAAACTACAAAACCGAATGCTTTGAAATCTTGCAGATGTTTTAAGGTTCTAAAGAGCATAATAAATGTTTAGTCAAAATATATTTGCTTATCCCCTTCAAAAAATTGATGACGTCAGCTCGAAAGTTTGCCGAATAAATCTTATCTAAACTGTAAAAATATGATGAGTCTGTACTTGTAATTTATCACTCCATTCATATTTTTTGGATTTGCATATACAGGGTGACTCAAAAAAATTAATGAATGCGTAAATATATTTTATTGATTTAATCAGGAACTACAAAACCGAATGCTCTGAAATCTTGCAGATGTTTTAAGGTCATAAAGAGCATAATAAATGTCTAGTCAAAATATATTTGCTTATCCCCTCCAAAAACTTGATGACGTCAGCTCGAAAGTTTGCCGAATAAATCATATCTAAAATGTACAAAATATGGTGAGTCTGTACTTGTCATTTATCACTCCATTTATATTTTTTGGATTTGCATATACAGAGTGACTCAAAAAAATTAATGAATGCGTAAATATATTTTATTGATTTAATCAGGAACTACAAAACCGAATTCTTTGAAATCCACTGCGAAAAAAAAAAACATAATAGGCATGCAGTCGTCACGTTTCCGACAGCGAGGGAAGTACTGTCTAAACTCTTTAGACCAATTTTTTTTTTTTGGTTACTGCAAGCTTTGAGGAGACGTTATTCTGTGTTTTCCTTTTTTCGATGTGAAAGTAATCAGTTCCAATTACGAATTAAAATAAAACATTAAATCTTATCATTTCTTTGATGTTACTTTACCATCAAAGTATTTCCTAGGTCCTTTATTGATTTCAGTACAAAACGATTTGGTGTTTAATTGTTTATATCTGTGATTTTAAATAATAAAATTGCCATTTTCAGTGGTTCTTAGCAGTACCTATCTGAATTCTATACCTTTTCTGTTCATTTTAGTTAATGTTCGCTTGTTCAGAAAGATCTTGTCTGTTAAACGGACGAGTCAGAAAAAGGTAAAAACAATATAATTTTTTGATTTATTCAAAATTTGAATTTTAAAAAGAAACAACAGGTTTCAAAAAAGTTTTCATGACTAAACCCCTGAAACAGAATGTGACATAAGCTAAATAAATAATAAAAGTACTGCGAGTGAAAAAATAAACATAACAGGTGAATTCCATACAGCAACAAACACTGGATCAAGTACCACCATGAGTGACAACACACGTGAGATCATCGTCAATTAAATTATATACAAATTGTAAAAAAAACGATTATCATCATCAATTTTATCTTCAACTTGAAGATAAGTGCATATTTTATAATCAGTTCTCTGACTAATTTGAACTTTAAAATTTTTGCAGGCTAATTAGACGTGGATTGCTGCACTTAAATTTTTTAAGATAAATGTACTTTTCCTATATTATGAATACAATACATGAATGGTTACAATACATAACAAAACAGACAAGATATAAATTTGATAAATTTTTATTAAAATTTCTAAACAGATCCAGTTTTTTCCTCTTTGGTTACAGACTAATCTACAAAAACATATGCTACACACTGTTTAAAAACTCGAAATTTTAATACCTTCTTAAGATTCTTTATCTTCTACGTCATTCCACGGTTGCAAGTCAGCCGACACAAAAATTATGGATAAGCCAGCACAAGCAAAGTAAATTCCAGCTGCTAAAAGAAATACTTTCCTCCAAAAGATTGGATCTGTTTAAATTACAGTACCACGAAAATAAACAAGTTGATTTTAATAATTCAACCTATCTTATCATTACTAAACGGACCGACAGTCAGAGGTTCCAGAATATACCCACAATCGTTTCCGCATGGTTGGGTGCTGCATCAATGATATTAATAAGATTACCAGAAATCACGAAAGCTGTGCAACCAACGGCTACCACTAGAAATACTTAAGATAGTTCTTGTTTCAGCCCCATGTTAAAACCAAAATTCCCAGGTCACAATTTTTTTTTCCTCGTGGTTGTACAATTGCACGCAAATGTTTTGAGCCTATGGGCGGATCGTTTTTGCCTGTCCTCACCGAAGAAGGCGGTCCAAATCCTTCAAGGGCAGAATTTGTAGGTAGACTCAAACTACAACGAAATTTACATTTGGTAAGAAATATTTATGGCTCACACCAGTTCTCTCAAATTTGTCGGAGAAGATTTAGCAGGTAGTTGTCCCCATAAAATAATGGTCACTTTCGTTCGTGAGTAACGATGGTCCGGACAGGAATTATTTTGCTTTCTAACATCTTTCGACCAATTATTCCGTATAAAAAATTTCATCACTTTTTCAAATAAAATACTCTTAAATGTTCATAATAAATAAATAAAAAAAAACTATATTGTCGTTGAGTGACATGTAACTGGCATAATAATAAAAACGAGCGATTTTTGTTAACTGATATTTTTTTCATAAATGTCGCAAAATTATTAAATTTGTCTAATCATCCCCACCAATAATGTGATGACGTCACTTCAAATTTATGCATAGTAAATGGGTTTTAAATTGTATACAGTAACATAGTCCTACACATGTAGTTTATGACTCCGTGTTGAGTTTTTATCCGAAACGTCCAGATTTTTGGAAAAAAAATCTAAATTATAAAACAATATTTTGCAATTTAATTTTGAATTTGCAAATTCGAATAATTTGAAATCTTGCAGATGTTTTAAAGTCATGATAAACATGATACATTTTTAATTAAAATATATTTGCTTATCCCCTCTAAAAAATTTATGACGTCACCTCAAAATTTTGCAGAATAAATCCTATCTTAAATGTATAAAATATGATGAGTTTTTATACTTGTGATTTATCACTGCATTAATATTTTTTAGACTTAGTTATACAGGGTGTCTCTTCCAGTGGCGGCTCGTGACTTTTTCTGTTGGGGGGGCAAAATTAATACACAGTATTATGCTAAATTTAAAATTTATGCTAGGTAAAAATTATTGTTTCTTTTTATTAAAAATTTAGAAAAATGTCAAGTTAGAGGTCCGTTAGCCAGAAATTATTGATTGAAAATTGATAATTGAAAATCGATAATTTCTGTTTACCATCTGGAACCACGAGGAGGTGGACCTAATTCCAGACTTCCCCAACGGTGATGGGGCGAACTCAAAGTTCCTTTTAAATTTGTTGCCATAAGAAATATAAATAAAATTTTGTTAATCGCGTGTCCAGTAGATGCAATAGGTATCCCCCACTTTAAATTATTTTCAATTTTTTTAATTAATGTTTCTATATATAAAATCCATACGTCTTTCTTTGTTACGAACAAAATGTTCTATAACTAGTTCATTGAAATTCGTGGTTTCTTGCACTAGTTTTTTTTCTATTGAACACATTGCCAAGGCACACAATCTTTCTTGACACATTGTATTTCGTAAAAATGTCTTTATACGTTTTAACGTCGAAAAACATCGTTCGCATTCACTTGTCACCATCGGTAATGTGCAAATAATTTTCAATAATTTTTTTGTTTCTGAAAATACGTCTAATAAATTGTTTTCATACATAAACTTCAAGAATGTTAAGGCACCATTTGCTGTCGAAAAATCGGGATGATTATAAATAACGTTTAACTCATTTTTTAACACATTAAAATTTAAATCATATTTTGTAGCACATAATTCAACTTCTTTTGATGGAAAATTTAGTTGAAAATATGAAAATAAGCTAGTCTGAAACAAATTTGCTGCTGTAATATAATCTGCTTCTAAAAATCGATCATTTATACTAAATTTAATATTGTCACAAATTTCTTTAGCAATTGCAATTTTATTATCATTAAAACGAGACCGCTTTTTTGAAGATTCACCCTCTTCGTTTTCTTCTCGGTAATAATCGTAGTCGATAGAATCTGTTACATGTTGTATGGCAAGTTTAAAAGAAGTAATGTTTTTCTGAAGTTTAATTAAGTCCATTTCGCGAATTTGAAGTTGGTTGAAAAGTATCTCGGTACTAGGCATGATTCTGTGAAAGAAGTATAACCAAAAATTAAAATCGTAATCTTCTAATGTTTTCCGTAAACTACTTGCCTTGGCAATTGTTAATTTATCACTATTTTTATCTTCCATTATAATTTGAAAGCAGTTAATCAAATCATTTTTAAAACTATGTACAGTATTAACTATTCGTGACTTAAAGTTCCATCTAGTCGGACAATTTCTTGGTAATCTTTTAGAAACGATATTATCAAGTATTTTTATACGTTTAGGAGATCTTGAAAAAAACGAGGAAAATGATTCTAAATTTGAAAAAAAAATTCTTACTTGGCTGTGTGCTGATGCCGCCTTTTCTATAATTAAATTCAACTGGTGAGCATAGTAGTGAATAAACTGAGCTTTAGGGTAATGTTCCTTGATTTTTGCTTGTACCCCATTTTGTCATCCACTCATAACCGAAGCACCATCATAAGACTGAGATATAAGTTTTTTTGGATTTTGATTGATTTCAAGTTTTTCGAGCTCATTTAAAATAATACTAGAAATACAATCAGCTGTGTGATCTGTTGGATTAATGAATCCTAAAAATCTTTCAAATATTTTACCTTTCAATTCATATCTAACGACAAAAACCAGCTGCGACTGTGAAGCTACATCTGTAGTTTCATCAGCTAAAATAGATATATAGTCCGCTTCCAAAATTTCATCTTTGATTAAATTAATACAAACAGCATAAATTGAATCAAGTAGTTCGTTTTGTATGGTTTTTGAAAGACCCATGAAAACGCGATTGTTCGTTTTTTCTATATGAGATTTTAATGTAGTGTCAAGCTCTGCCATTAAATTAATTAAACCTCTGAAAATTCCCGGATTTGCAGAATCATGCGTTTCATCATGCCCCCTTAAAGCCGACTCAAAGACTCCACAAAATTTTATACCGTCAATCAGTTTACTTAAAATGTATCTATTCTGTTTTACCTGATCATTATGTTTCTCGACGTTCTCTCTATAAGCACTATTTAACTGATTTCTTATGTCTACTTTACCTAAGACTGCGAACGATACGTTGAGATTTAAGTGTTTTTTACTCGAGCGATGCTTTTTTACTTTTTCTCCCAAATGTTTTAAATCCGTGATTCCGGTTTCAGTCCAAGCTTTATCAACATCTCCGTTATTCATAAGGGTACATACAAAACAGAAAAGGTCGTTTTTCGCGTTGCAACCACATAACCACCACTCACTTTGATACATAGTCTTATTAAATTTTCGATGCACGAGTTTGTCTTTAACTTTAGACGACACAGCAATGTCCAAATCGGGTCTTGGCGGTCCAACGTTTTTTATTAATAGTTTTTCATCATGGCTTAATTTATTTTCAGATTGTAGCCGCAAAATTCTCTCAATCGAATTCATATTGATATTATTGACAACTCTACAACACAGTTTTTTAAGTTTCTTAAAATCACTGCAAACGCACAGAAAACTAAAACTGACGAAGTTAGCAAATTTCACTCGACCGTTTTGTTTCAAAATCGATGACTAAATCGATAAAAGTGTATGCAATCGTATATGCATTTAAGTACTTAAGTTGCAGTACATAATTAAGACGAAGCGATTACTATGCCCTGCCGAGATGTTGCAATATCGTGCATTTGTGCATATAATCGCGAAGATTGCCAAGTACGGGTCAATGAAAATATTCACAATTTGGCAACATGCAGGACGGGCAAAGGTGTATGATACCCTGCCGAGATGATGCCAGATTGTGTTCTGAACATAGGCAACTCGTAGGTTTCCTAATTAAATGCATTTTGATAATTAATAGCGCGAAATTCTCAGATTTAAAAATGTGCTTTCATTTTGGTGGGGCATTGCCCGTTTGCCCTTCCTGCACCAGCCGCCACTGGTCTCTTCCCAAGTGTCGGTGTCTCGTAATTTGTCATTCCATTCCAGTAAGCGACGATCGTCTCTAGGGATGTTCGGTTCTACAAAATAAACCGGTTTTCAGTTAACCGATTTATTTTTGAACAGGTTAATTGCCAACAGTTTAACCGAACCTGCAATAACCGGTTTGCAGGTTAACCGATTGTTCCCAATTCAATGTGAAAGTAAAAAAAAGGTGAATAGGTAATAATATTGATATATAAATCGTTGCAACTCAAAAATGTATTTCATGTTTAACAAAAAAACATTAGTCTGGATTATATAAACAAAAAATGAATTCCAAATTAGATGTTCCAGTAAATACTATCCAAAGAATTAAGAAATACTAACTCATTGATGTGCTGTGGTGTCAAACGACTTCTTTTATCAGAACAAACATTATTAAGTGTAGATACCAGGCGTTCTGCTGGAACTGAAGCTCCCAAGACAGTGAGGTATTTCATGGCAACTTTGTACGTTCCTGGAAATGCATTCTTATTTTCTTTCCAATACTGTATTGGATGTCGAGTTCTTGGTTGAATCGGTTGATTCAAATATAATTTTAACTCTGCGGGTAATCCATCACAACCATCTGAATCAGGTAAGTGCCTTGAGGCTATCTCATCATGGATATTCCAAATGCATCCATCTACATCATCTATAATATTTGGATGTACTGGTGGAGTGAGCGATCCTTGATTCTGATGTTCTTTTTTAACTTCGTTTTTTATTATTGTAATGGCATTGGCAACATTTCTTGCTGATGAAAAATGAAGACGCTTAAATCTGGGATCTACAATTGTGGCTATTGACAAAAGAATATTTGTTTCTAAAGGATCAAGTTTTTTTTCTATTTGTGCCTCAAGTTCTTTTTTTAAGTTTTTAGCAAAGGGATTACTGACGTTGATTCTATGTAAGGAGGTTTTAATACAGTTGGTCATGGGTATCACCAAGCTTCCTGAGACATATTTTTCGCCTGATATATTTTTAGTTGCATCCTCAAATGGCCCAAGTAACTTCAAACACTCATCAATAATTGCCAGCTCATTAGCAGTCAACATTGGTGGAGCTTTTTGGTGTTCAGACGACAGTAAAATTTTACCAACATGACCCGATAGGTATTTAAACCTTTGTAAGCAATAAAACGTGGAGTTCCATCTAGTGGGAACCTCTTGTATTAAATACAGATATGTTCCATCCTTTTTTCCTTCATTTTTCTGTTCATATCTTAACTGATCTTGTGCAACATTACTGTGCTTAAAATAAGCAACAATTGTCTTTACTTTTTCAATTATGGTGACAACATCTGGACAACTTCCTAATGCCTTCGTTACCACTAAGTTTATATTGTGCGCAAAACAACTGACATGGAAATGATTAGAAGTCTGTTACATAATTTTCTTTACAGCAGCAACAATATTTGCACCGTTATCAGTCGTAATTGAAACAATGTTTTCTTTTAAAATTTTCCAGTTATTCAACATAGTGTGCAAATCATTGCTTATATTGTCTGCTGTATGGTGCTGTGTCAGATTACTCACACCAAGTGCAATAGTAACCATTTCATTATTTTCTTCATCTATCAATTAAAATCTTTAAATGAAAAAAGAAACAAAATAATTCATCTTACTGATAAAATGGTCAGTTAAAACTATAAAACTTCTTGTCGCATTGATCACTGTTGCAATGTCTGTTGTTAAGGCAAGATGGTGAGCTTGTTGCAATTTTTTGCTAACAAATATTTGCAGGCTGTTGTACTTCTGTTCAACATATTTTGTAATCTAAAAATAATAGATTTTTGCCGATTTAAATTGTTAGAGCCAATGGACCTACTGTACTCCTACTTGGAACATGATATAACGGCACTGCTACTTTTAAAAGCCTTTTGAGACCTTCTTTTTCAGTACATTGCAATGGATAATTGTCTTTGCATATCATGAAGATTAAAGCTTGGGTTAACATTGCTTCTTTTGACCCTCCAGCTGAAACATTAAGTGTATATCAAATAGAGATTCACAATTTCCATGCATAGGATTAATTTTTTTATGAAGGTATGATATTTACATTCATAACATCTTTGTGCATTAAAAATCTGGTGAATACTAGGTTGAGAGAGATGCGAGCTGTTACTACCATTATAGTTTATGTTGCTTGTACTGCTTGCAGTAATGGTACTGGCACTCCCGATACTATGAACTTCTATTAAATTCTCTTCAAAACTGTCATCACTGTCCTATGATAGAAAATATATTCAAATAACTATAGAAATTTTCCCATATGATGAAAACTAAGAATTAATTCTTCACCTCATGCTGAGAGTCTAGGGCTTCATTTTCAATCTCCTTCGCTGCATCTCCTCCTTCTGCATTGCTATGAGACGTTGAAGGCGTTGAGTTTGTCAAATCAAAGTCGATCCTTGGTTTCTTGTTCACTCTGGCTTCATCTGCGACATGTTTTTTGAAATTAATAGCATTGACTTTTGGGTGTTTTCGAATAAGGTGATTATTTAGGTTTGTGGTCCCACCACCAGTTTTGTAAATTCTTCCGCATAAATTACACTTACAGTTTTGATTATTACATCGGGTGAAAAACTCCCATACTTGGCTTTTTCTATGTTTTGGCATGTCGTCCTATAATGCAAACACTAGTTTACAGGAATATTTTTGATTTGCTGGAAAATGAATACTTTTGATTGTTTGTAGACTTTCTCTTATTCTCTTACTTTTATTAATCAGACTACTATCCATGTACGCACTTGGAATTAGGTTAGGAAGTACAAAAGCGTTGCAACGCGCGGGAAAATAATAATCACAGACCACACTAGTCTGTGATAATAATGTCCACAGCACGAGAAAATTGTCACGAGCACCCTTTTTCCAATCCAATCAGCCAATCACCACTGGTCGTTGTTAGTTCTCTTTTTTTAATTATTGCTATCTTACTTGCCCCCCAAACGTATAACTTCCAAGCTTACCAACACTGGGTAGGTACAATAACCACCAACGTACCACGTACGCTTTTTGCCTGCATTATTTTGCTATAAAAAATAAAAAAACCTACAAGTAGGTTCTGACATACGGCATCCGGTTCATCAGGTTATAACTGAATTTTAAAAAACCGGTTATAGTAGGTTCTTTCGCAGCAAAAAATCGGTTTAGTGGAAAACCGGTATTTTTTACGCATCCCTAATCGTCTCCAGTCAGTTTTAGCTTGGCCACCTGTACCTTTTGTTTGTCATTCTAGCCTATCAGCTTGGAATTGACTCCAAGGTTACCGTTGGTGCCTCCGGTCGGGGAGGGTCATTATAAATTCTTTTGTTGGTGTTGTTGTTGAGTTATTTCTTTCCACAGTTTTGTTTGTTTAAGTTATAGATCTTTTATCGAGTTATGATTTATTTTTGAATTCGTAGTCTGAAAATAAGTTTCCAGAGTTATCACTCCTATCAGCTCCTGTGGTTGGTTCGTTTATACGCTTCGGTGGTTAGTATTAGTGGTACTTGGAACGGGGGTATTCGCGAGATTCCTTTGTTGTTGATTGTCATTGAGGTGCCCCGATGGTTACCGATTGTCAACAACCCCTTGGCTATTACTTTCTTAATTCATTGTCTCTACTTATTGTAAGTTGGATTATTGATCAATAAGGCACTAGCTTAATGTTCACAAATGATTAATTATTTGGTCACGTGCGGTCTTCAAGAGTGTGCGACATCACGGTAACGCGAGATTCGCGTGTGAAAGTGCCCGCGAAGTGACGGTGTGCGCTCGAACTCTCCTTTACATCTTCTACCGATAGATGGCGTAAGAGTTCCCATTTTGGTAGAGACCCATCTTATTTAGGGTCTCTACATTTTGGTAAGAATCATCCCTTGAATAATTGTTGAGAAATTTTTCTAAAATGAGGTGCTTTTGCGCATTGAACGAGTGAGGGTGTTAGTTTTGGCGGGCTGGGGAGGCCCTGTTTGTGGTTGACCTCTGATCTTTTTTCTCTGTCCCCGTTACACCCCTTTGCTGTTTTCTCTTATCGTTGGGTTCCCACCTTTAATCGGAAGAATTCTGTATTTAATGTCCCCTTTTATTTTTATCTTTCTGCCCACGTCCAAACTGCACAGTGCAGCGTCTTCTGTTGCTTGCCTGCCTGTTATCTTTTCAGGGGTAATTAGCGTCCATATTCGCTGGCTCGCTTATCGCTTGCTTCCCGGGATTGCATTTCGCTTTTTTTTCCCTGATGTTCATTCACGCCTTTTAGGACCTGTAGGGTTTCTGGCTGTTGTTTCCGGTGGGTAGCCCTCGCGTTTGCTGGGGGGTTCCCGGGGGATTTCAAAATTTAAGCGGCGATTCCTTTGAAGATTCCTTGGCGTCTTGTTCTTCTCCTTTCCTGTTTTTTTTTTTCTGTGATTTGTTCACTCGAGCTTATCTTTTATCGCGTCTCCGTTTCTTTTTTCTTTCTTTTTCCTTTTCGAACTAAGCATTGGTCGGTGGTCGGTCCTCGTCAGCGCCCTTTCCCATTGTTCCCTCTCTCTTCTTTATTATTATTATTATTATTATTATTATTATTATTGATAACCACCCCCACAGTGAAACCAATTATCAGGGTGGTAAGTACGCAATTTAAAATTTAAAAATGCAAGTTTTTTATTTGTCTAAGCGTGGAATTAAAAAGGTCGAACTTGTCTTTGTGCAAATTATAATTACGGCACATAGTTATTATTGGCGAGTACATGTGTACATTAGTTCGCGAAACTTCAACATAAAAACTTCCAGGATTACGCGATCCAAATCGAGGTACCAGAAAAGACAATTTTCCAAGTAAAATATTGGTATCGATTACCCCGTTGACAAGCTTATGGAGAAAACGTAATGAAATGTTTAGCCTTCGAGATTCTAGACTTTGTATGGAGAAGATTCTCAGTAGATCACTTTGAGGAAAACCTCTTTCCGGATAAAAACCGTAAGACTTCAAATGCAAAAACTTCAAAAATCTTCGTTGAACCTTCTCCAGTTGCAGACAGTGACTGTTGTAACCAGGAGACCACACAACGGAGCCATATTCTAATTTGGACCTAACAAATGCAAAATAAAGGTGTAAAAATGTTGTGCGTTCAAGAAAGTTTTTGCAGCTTCTGATAACAAACCCTAGAGCTCTTATTGCGGATGATGTAATGAAATCATAATGGGCAGTGAAAGAAAGTTTCTTATCAAACATAATTCCCAAGTCTTTCACCAGAGAGAGGCGGTTCAAACTGATGTCACCGATTCTATAATCATACGAGTTGTTACAGAGGCTTAATGAAAATGTCATAACATTACATTTCGAAATGTTTAAGTACAATCCATTTTGGATACACCTTGTCTCAATTGTGGCTAAATCTTCTTGGAGCATTACGTGGTCAGAGAATGTTAATATTTTTCTAAAAATCTTTAAATCGTCAGCATATAAAAGACATTCTGAATTCAGGTCCTTACTGATGTCATTAACAAACATAACAAAAAAAAGAGGCCCAAGAATGGACCCCTGTGGTACTCCAGAAGTGACTTGAATTTCAAAAGATTGAAAACCGCTTGAAGTTACAACTTGTGTTCTGCCAATCAAGTACGAAGTAAATAATTTAACAAGTGCATCTGATAAACCTTCTTGTTTGTCATCCTCAGTACCATATTTTTATGCCAACAATGCGTCTTCTGTCTGGTGATTAAAAATGTATTGGTGGCTTTTCTTCATTCTGTCCCTGACTCTCTGCCAGGATGGGTGAGTTTGTAGCATGCTACTTTTACTTGCCGGTGTGTGGGGCGTATTTTAAAGGGCCACACAAATGCTTGGGTACTTAACATCTGTCTTGAACACCTTAAAAGACAACTAAAAAAAGAGAAAAGGGCCTAAAAGAAAGTATAATAGAGTTACGGTAGTCAAATTAAGTATAACTGGTTGCATATATTTGTTTTTCTCCGGATTTTCAGGTTTTCTTACCGTTTTCATTTTTGTTTTTGGCGCCAGCCAATATGGGGCGGCTGGAGCTACGCCTGTTACCCCTTCCATTTTAGCGGGTGGCTGCTATAAGCCACAGGGGGTGTCACTCTGCACTCCTGGGTGCCATACCACTCAAATCTCTTTCTCTACACTTTTATCTTTCCTCTCGTCTTCTCTCTTCTATTTCCCAGAGTACTGTTGTACTGTTTTGGGGAAGGTCTTCCCTTCCTTTCCACTCTTTGTCGACACCCCAAACAGTGCAACCCTTCTTCTATCTTTCCATTCTTACTTTACTATCACTTTCCCTTCACGCTTCTTCTCTTCACTCTAATTCTTTTGCGACTAGTACTAACAACATCTCATCAACCACGATAATTATAAGCCTACGCGAACCTAAAATATCGGTACGACTTCCGGATGTAAACAATCCGCCATCTTGATGTCAAATATGTCAATACACGCGTACGACGCGAATTAAAGGTCTTCCTTAAGAGGGGATGGTGGAGGAAGTCTTCCATTTTAGAGAGATTCGGTCGTGGTGATTCGGCGAGTGAAGTCGTGTTCTGAGGTTCAGGAGGAGTCCTGAAATCTTAGTGCCGATTACCGATATCTATCGTTTTTCGTACCGTTTAGGGTTGTGTAACTTAACCAAGTATCGTTGGTGAACCTCTTAACTCCAGAGGATATCGTTTGAGGCCTTCTCAAAGTAATTATCGATATTTTTTTTTTGCGTCGCCATATTGGAATTGAGAGATTTTCCAAAATCTAAGTCAAGAATGGCGCTGAATTTCGCTTTCCGAACAACTCCAGATCGCTGCTATCAACTTCCCGGGGCAGATCGCAGTTGCTTCGCCTGTGAGAACGTTGCTAGTTCACCAGCTGCAGACGTCCTTGGATCTACAACCAGCTAAGTCCTTTACCGTTCTTATCGCCTTAGAACTATCGTAAAATTCTAGTTTCGCTTTAATTGAAATTTCCAATTCTATCTCTTTGCGTACAGTTAGATAAGTTTTTTTTACATCTTAAAGCGCCAATCAGTACTGAGTGGTCAAAATAATATTTAATAACATCCTTAAGGACCGTCATGTTATAACGGCACGTGTTAGCGCTATTTTGTAGATTCGTTATGTTATAATTCCATCTTATTCCATATTAATTCTCCACATTGTAATTTTCCAAGTTAAGTTTTTTTAGTTTTTTTTCGCTTCAATATCTTAGGCTTATCGCTATCGCTTACTATCAGCATTAGTAAGAATTGTTTTTATATATGCTTTCAACTTTATAAATTTCACTTAGAATTTAACTTTATTTTGTATAATATTCATCTAAGTTACTTCAGTTAATTTAATTAAGGTTACTAACTTTATTAATTTTAAGCTGCTTCGCAAATTCTATAATTTTTTTTACAACTTTTGCACAATAATTAATTATTATTATAATTTTTTCATTTTTTGTAATAATTTTATAATTACTTTGAAGTTACTTTTTATTTTCATTAAACTTAGTCAACCAAATCTGACCGAATTTAATTTGACCCTCTTCCAGTGCACAGAGTGTTAATAAAAAAAAAAAAAAGACTTAGGGCCGGTTGCATAAACGCAAATCAAATTTAATCTCTGATTAACTCCATAGTAACGATTGTTATTATTATAGTTACAATTGTTCTTAATCAGAGATTAAATTTGATTTGCGTTTATGCAACCGGCCCTCAGTAACTTAAGTCGGCGTGACACGGCATAGGTAAGTTACTTGGCGCCCAAAATATTATAAATAGGTATATATGTGAATCCATCACCCTGCTCACCAACACCTAACTGAGCTGTCAGTGTTACAAGTTCTTGTTCCCGTCCTTTAAAAAAAAAATTTTTTTCTTAACTTTGTTGTTACAGATCGTCGAATTTTCATTGCGCGGGACTCGAGGAGAAATAGCTGGGACGAGGCCCGTGAGTATAGATGTATATTATTTCTTCCCTTCTTGGGAGGGGTTTTTCTATTTCCAAAGATTTTATTACTTTCTTACTCTTCTAAATGTTTATTATTTATTTTTGTTTGTTTTTTTTTATGTAGCCGTCGTCCCAGACGAACCTGCAGCACCCGGAACCGGTGAGTACTGAATTAATTCCTTTATTATGTTCATTTCCTTTCCGTTGTTGTTGTTGTTGTTTTTTTTTTTCTTTGGATGCTGAACCGATTTGTGAAAGTGTTTTTGTGCTTTTTTTAGGGCACATGGCGATGATGAGGATGGATGTATGGAGGGCCGTAACGACGGGAGTCCCCGCAGCGGGGGACCTGGGCCTAGACGGGGCCCTCGTCCTGCGGCTATCTCCCATACCAGGGAGCACATCAAAGTGGTTCTCCAGTTTTAAAACCACCTGAGTATTCTTTTTTTTTTGTTTTTCCTCTGAGTTGGTTTAATAAATGAAAATAAGTAAATATTTTGTTTTCCTTTTCATACGGTGTTTCAATCGAACACAGGGGCTGTTGTAGTCGCTTAATGAATTATGAGAATTCATAACTTCTGCATGGTAGTGTCTCGGCAGTGTTTATATTAAAAATTCCCCAATAGGCAGAAATGGTATTTATCTAATACTATTAAACGAGCAAAGTTTGTATATATATATTTATATATATATATAATGGGTTTCTCGAAAACGGCTCTAACGATTTCACTATTAAACTAGCAAAGTTTGTATATATATATTTATATATATATATAATGGGTTTCTCGAAAACGGCTCTAACGATTTCGATGAAATTTACAGGTTAGGGGTTTTTTGGGTCAAGAAATCGATTGATCATAGTTTTAACTTCTGAAAATTACAGCTTCATGCATTTTCAGCAATTTTCAGGCAGTGAATTATATTTGTTGCTAGGCAACATCAGATGACACTACACGAACACGAGATTGTTTTATATGAGAAGTTTGGGTGACAGTCTGACAGTACGTTTGACGTACCTTTTTATCTTCAATTGTACGTACCGAAACATACTCCACTGTATAGAGGACGTTGAAATTCACCTCCTGAGGTGAGAAAATTTACCAAAAACTAAACAGTGAGCGGATAAAAGGCACACGAAAGTGTGTTGAATTGAGATTATTTTGTCAAGCATTTATTTCAGAGGTTCCACGGTCAGTGTCAACATGTGATCGTTTTCGGGGATGGGACCGTGTTATTTGAGTTTTTGGGCTCAACGTTTCGCACACTTTCGTAAATGGCATCTTCGGGAGCAGGGTTGAGATTGAGAAATTAGGAATAGCACAAAAGAGCAGTTTAACTCAATATGTTAACCACACCAGAGGCGAAACTCTTCTGGCAGTAAGAATGTGGTTGTGACCTTTTTCTAGAGTCGAGAGAGAGAACTACGAAAAAAAAAGAACGACAGAGAGAAAACTTGGGTAACAAATGAGATGTCAAACAATAATTCCAGTTTTCTGTTCTTTAATCTCTACATGTCACTTATCAGTGTTTAAAACAAAGACTGCTTATGGAATTTCTTTTTTAATGTGTATTTTTAAGTAGCGCGTGTACTTCAAAATGCATACTATACGCATATTTATCTGTCCTAATCTGATCTAATACTACCAAACGAGCCGAGTGAAACTCGGTCAACCAGATATTAAGTTTCTTATGTGTCCTATCGTGCTCATTTTTGTTCCCGAAAGCATACGAAATGGGTATGTATGAAATTTTTTCTATGGTTAAATTTCTTTGTTCAATTTCAAAAAGTGATACTCTTATTTGTTCTTGCTCTGTAATGGGCTGGTTGGCGGCTCTGTGTCTTGCTTCCCTTAACGTTTCTCTGGGTGTTTTTTTTTTTCAGATCACCATCTTCGACCAGTGGTGAACCCTCCGGGTTCTGACTTTCACAGCCCTTCTCCCTCCTCTGTGACGTTGTCAGAGATTTTGGCGTCTCTTGCGACTTCACCCCCACCGCGGCCGGTCTCCGTTCCAGAGTCGGAACTATCCCCGGGGTTCATATCTGCTTCTCCACCTCTAGCGCCGTTCCCCATGATGCCGGGTTATTTCCCGATGGTCGCCCCGGTGCCTCGGTATGAGGTGATCGCCGGTCCGGGCCTTGTCATCCCTTGGGGCAGCGCCCGGACCATCTCCACACCTTGGGTGTAACAGTGGGGGTTTTGGAATACGCTGGGTGAGCCCTTAGTCATTTTTCTTATTAAATAAACTTTGTTTTTTTTTCGTAATTAGTTTTTAAGAAATGTTTATTTAAATAAATTTTGCAAAATGTCTACCTTTCGTTCTCATCCACTTCTTATCAGCCTATTTCTAACGTTTTATTAGCGAGAAAGTTGAATTCAGTTTAATTGGTTGCCTAACCTCCGACCTCATATTCTGCTAATTAATTTTTGTTTTTATGAGCAGCGCCTCCTGCGATTTTCTCAAGCAACATTTCCTGTCGGTAAAAGCGTCGTTGATTCCCGTAATTAAAATCGCGCCCTTAATGATGTATTTCTGATTATTACCGGTTTGGTAGTACTGATTGACAATGATAATGCTTAATGAACTACCTAAAATTATGGTGAATACACGTATTATTCCCCTGTTTGTGAGACTAGCTAATTTTATATGAAAATTTGGGTGCGAATAAAGTTAATGTTACATAAGATTCAGTGGCGGCTCGTCAGGGGAGGCAGGGGAGGCAGTGCCTCCCCTGGAAAAATTGATTATTACTTTTTGTTTTAATATCTCTCAACTTCAAATATATTTTAAAGATATAGCAAATAACTTTTATAGAACACTGTGATTTATTAAAACGCGTCTTGGTAACATATTTTGAAGTACGCGCTTTCGACAGGAATAAGCGCTGATCATCACCGTGTAGGCCAACTTCAGACGGAGGCATGCCTCAGATAGACGGATATCTTCAGTATGATTAGTCAGTGGTGCTAATATGTTTTTGAGAAAGACAATAGTCAGCAGTGCTTTATCAAAGCGCCAGCGGAGGCACCAACGCCTACCGTCCTTAAGGGTCCCCAGTCGTCGCCCGCAAAATCGGTTTCAGTGAGAAGAATTATTTTTTGTAACTATGCAACCCAAAGTACGGATGCACGGCAGGTAGCGACCCAAGAGAGGAGAGATTATGGTCACTGTAGGGAGTCCGTCATAAAATGCAAATCGGTAAACAACACCAGATAAGCTTATTTATTTTGAAATGAAGGGTACAGGGAAATAACCATGGAAATCCATTTCTATCTATTTTGAAAGAAATTGAGTTGAAAGTTTAAAATGCTGCGGAAAATAGATTGAGAAACCCACAAGGTTCAGTCTAACACAACTTTTTATTTTCTTTATAATGTTTTAAAAATATATAAAATAAACTGTTTATGTTCAAATATAACAGCAAGAAAAATTGGTGGAAAGTTGTTTCGACAGAACTTCCCTCGCACGTAAAATACAATGAAACATATCCAGCATTTTCGAGTTAAATTTTTACTTTAGGTACACAATTTTGTGATGAAATCATCAACATTTTGCAAGGACACGTAAATGAATGTGGAGTAGACTAAAAATAACAGTATTCCAAAAATTTCTGGGAAAATGGAGTGAGTCGAGACTGATTTAATCAATAGAATAAATTGACTCATTCATTAATTTTTTTGAGCCACCTAGGTATATAAGCAAATCTAAAAAAATATGAATGCAATGATAAATTACAAGTAAAAACTCATCATATTTTGCACATTTTTAGTAGAATTTATTCAGCAAAATTTTGAGATGATGTTATCAATTTTTTAGTAGCATAATCCTGAACTTGTGGTTTACAATTTACATTATTGAGATTTTTCGACTTTTCGGTTTTTCGATTTTTCAACTTTTGATGTTTCACTTTTTCAGTATTTTAATTTTTGACATTTTCAATTTTTCCATTCTTCAAATTTTCGATTTCTCCATTTTTTTATTTTTCGATTTCTCAATTGTCCGATGTTTCAGTGATACGATTTCGCAATTTTTCAACTTTTCGATATTTTAATTTTTCAATTTTTAAAATTCTAGATTTTTCGATTTCTCCAGTTTTCAGTTCTTCTATGCATATTTCAGTTTTTCAATTTTCGGAATTCATTATATTTCCAATTTTCCATTTTTTTTTTAATTCTTCGATTTTCCAGTTTTTCGATGTTTCGATTTTTCAATTATACGATTGTTCAATTTCTCAATTTCTAAATTTTAGATTTTCCGACTTTAATTTTTTTTTATTTTTTCATGTTTGGACTATTTATTATTGCTAAAAATAAAAGTAAAAAATAACTACCAAAATTGTGACTAAAAATATGTACCTAAAAATTAATAGAAAATAGAACACATTGCTGCTAAAACATAAAAATTAACTGAACTTTCCCAAAAAAATCTATTGCTTGATTACTGTTCCACTAGTATTGCTAATTTATGACGTTAGTATCAAACGCAGTGAAAGTGTTAATTCTTAGTTAAACAAAAAAATAGTTGAGTGTCAAAGTCGAGTGAAACATGTGAGACGTGTGTAAACAAAAGCATCTAAATAATAACTATTTCCCGCAGAATTTCTGGAGGCTTATAGAGTCGACATTGTCCTGAGCGCGCTCCGGTCTGTGGATCATACAAGTTCTCGGGCGATGATGTATCTAATAACGAGGCAGTTGAAATACCTGATATGTCACAGCGCAAAAAGTATTTCTCAAAAAACTTTCAAACCTTGATGATGCAAGGGCAACTGAAGCACTTTGCAGTAACACCAAACTGACAATAAGACAATGCGGTTTGTACATTTTTGGCGGCATCGTCAGACGGCTTAATAAACAAAAACGCTATCTTAGAAATTATAAAATATTTTTTATTTGCATTCGCGTCATGTGTAGTTTATATAAATCTTTTCCCCTTCTAGTAGAAACACACATAGGAATAAATAGTAATATTGGAATAGGTTTACTGGAGATATCACGTAAAAAACGTGCCTATAATACTCTACATTATAGGTGGTGCGGAAAAGAGTATCAAAAAATTAAATTTAAATAAATATGATTGTTCAGGTAAATACGTGGTTAGTGAAGTGATGAGAATCTAAATCTTGTCAGTTTTGTGTATTGATTTATATATAGAATGACAGATTAGTAAAAAATACTGGAATCATTTTTTGTAAGAAAATGTTATAGTAGAATGTATAAAATTATAAAAATTTGCATACTTTTAATTCAAATTATGTTAGCAATGAAAGAAGTCCACTTGTAAAAGAGTTTCAACAATGTTCGTAAGCTAAAAGGATTTATGAGTTTTATGATCTAAAGTACCTGGACGGATTACCTGAAAGGGTCGGTCGGCAAGGCTCCCTGCTGTGTCAAACTCAACCATTTATGGAAACGAATCCTTTGTAAATAGAGTTGCCTAGTTTCAATTTAATTTCATTATTCAGTATTTTTTTAAAACGCAAATATTTTGATAAATATAAATTTTAAACAAAAATGACCGGGTGTTCCTCATAGAGCTCAATGTTGTCTTTGCACTGTGTTTAAATCCTAAATTTAAACAATAATTTCTAAAATTTAAATTTCCTCTTTACGTCACCAATAAGAAGGTCAAGACCAACGACGCGAATGTAGAACGCTGAAACATGGAATTGCAAGCACCAGAACTACGAAACGCTGACTACCACAAGACCACCATCGTCAGCATTACGAAGACAGCGGTAATGGAACAAAAGAAAATACAAGAAACTGGGACGCAATATAATTTCATATGTATTATTACCTTCAGTTTAGAACCACTCACACGCTGTAAATAGTTAGTTTTGTATAAATAAGTTAGCTTGTTTTGAATAAAATCAGTATTAAGCTTTATTGGCTTTTTACTCACTCCCACAATTCTACGCCCCCATTGTTCATGGTGCTTCGAGCCATTACTGAACCAGGTGCCACCTTCCAAGTCTAAAAACTAGGACTGTGAGACTGCAGTCCAGTGGCACCTTCCTTAACATAGGCACCATTTCCAAGTCTACAATTTTCGGACCGTGAGACTGCGGTTCGGTGGTGTCTATTCCTTTTTACCCAGTGCCACCTTCCAAGTCTACAAACTCGGGCTGTGAGACTGCAGTCCAGTGGCACTACTCCTTTTTTTTACTAGAACACCATTTCCAATTCTACAATTTTCGGGCCGTGAGACTGCGGTTCGGTGGTGTTCATCCCCTAATCCGGTACCATTTCCAAGTCTACAATTTCGGGCTGTGAGACTGCAGTCCGGTGGTACCATCCTTACACAAGCACCACTTCCGAGAGAAATTTCGGTCGGCGGTGCCCTTTATCCCCAGCACGCCTTCGCAAAATTAAGGGTGCAAGAAAAAATTTGTCATGGAAGAATTCAACAAGAAAGCCAAAGAACAAGAGGATTTGGGGAAGAAAATTGAAACTCTCCTAACCAATGCGAGGAAAGACCCCGCAAAAAGAAAAACCCAGAATTGGCGATCCAAAAGGGCAGAACAACTCCAAGAATTTTGGAATGAGATTCAGCAAAACCATGAAGAATTCAAGGTACTAGGGCCCACCCTCAGAACTACCCACAATTATTTCGAGGTGAAGTATTTTGATCAGCTAAAAGCGTTGCACGAAGATGCGAAGAAATACCTCGAATCAGTTCAGACGTCGCCCGACGTCGACCCGGAACAAGAAGCCCACATCCGACGTCAATTATTCAGACTACAGAAAATATCCACCGAGCTGACCAAGATAAAGAGCGATTTAGATCAGGACTACAGCCAAGCCAGGTATGAACTTCTAGCCGAAAAAATCCAAGGTCAGTGGAGAAGCATCATGGAACTGCACGAAGAAATCTACGTCCATGAAAGGGAATTCGAAGACAAATATTTCGCCGACGAAATGTACGAGAAGGCTGAGGAAAAGTACGAGGTTGTGGTCGAAAAACTGAAAAGAAAAATCCAGTCACCGTCCGCCCATCAACAGGAGACACCAAACATTCAATTACCCCAAATTAAGCTTCCAACGTTTAGCGGGAATTATGAAGATTGGCCCACTTTTCACGATCTATTCAGCAAAGTCATTCACAAAAATACATCGCTCTCCAACATTGAAAAGATGCAGTATCTGAAGACGTACATCAGAGATGAGCCCAGCAGAATCATTCAACATCTCCAGATAACAGAAAATAATTACCAAACTGCATGGGAGCTGCTGGCAAAAAGATTTAGCAACGTAAGGCTTACCGTAAGTAAGTTGTTAGACAAAATTTTGGATCAGCCAAGGATGCAAG